TTTGTCTGTCTCTTTGCCTGTCTGTCCTTTCATTTTTCTTTCTTCGCTCATCTTATTTCTTCTTCTACTTCACGTGCTTACGCTCTTAGTCAATAGTTCTGTGACAATATATATATATTCCGGGGAGCTCTGTTTGACTATATATATCGTCAAATAGAACTGCCCGGTAAACCGTAGGCAGAGAGGGAGAAGAGGACAACAAATGAGGGGCTGTGACAAACTGTTTCGTCGGAGTTTCACCGACTCATCAGGTATATTACCTATAATAACTCTAGTTTTAATCTGAGAGAAGACAGCGGTTGGTGACTTTTGGGCACAGCTAGCATGGGGTGCCGTCCTACGGACGCCCAACAGACTTTATCAAAGGGATGCAAGGCCATTTACTGACTTTCTCCACCTTTCTGCTTCTCTAAGTCATCGGGGGAAGGGTTGAGTAGTGAACAACCAGTAAAGAGTCTAAAGACTCATCTGCAGCTTTGCCTGCGGACAATGCGCAATATCCAAATCTTTCTGCTTCTTCTCACCTAAGGCCATGGAGGTCAGCAAACTTCAGCGAAGCAAGAAAAAAAACAACCAATTCAGTTACGTCTCTGATGACCATTTTTCAGAAATTGATGATTTGAAACGCGGATAACAGTCTCAATTGTCAAGGCAGTATAAGTAGTATCACAGACACTTTATTGATTGCCCATCGTGTAAGAGGACGTGTTAGGGTTTAGGGTTTAGCAAAGAATGGTGTGGCTGAATGGAAACTTGAATCCTATCCAAACACATAATATGATGTGCAGCCCTTCACGCACAAAGAGAGAGAGAGAGAGAGAGAGAGAGAGAGAGAGAGAGAGAGAGAGAGAGAGAGAGAGAGAGAGAGAGAGAGAGAGAGAGAGAGAGGCAGGGTAGGAGTGGAAGAGGAGAGAAAAAGATGAAGACAATTTGTGGTATGTTGCCAGGTGCTCTATGGCAAGCAAGCTGATGGGTGTGCCAGCTGATGTTCCAATTTCTGCACAGATTTCTCAAAAGGGGGGTGATTCTGAGGTCCTCATCTTTTTTGCACACTTCTTTCACAAAAGGGTGGAATATATGAAAGTCTAGAAAGTGAGGAAAAGAGCAAACCTGACCTTCACAACCCCTCTAAAGAGAAAACAGTTCTGCTATGCTGCTAAATGTAAACCCTCTCCTCCCCCAAAACACACACACACAAACACGCACACACACACACACACACACACACACACACACACACACACACACACACACACACACACACACACAAATGAAAAAGAAAAAAAAAGAGGACTTTTCTGTCCTTACGGCAAGGAAAATATGAGAGCATAAAAACCGAACAAACAAACAAAAAAAAAGACGAGCATCATCGTATCTAGAGATTTGCTGGGAGAGAATCACAGTATCTAGAGATTGCCAGGCTTTGACAAGTGCTTACTTCCCGAAAGACTCTCAGCTGAACATAGAGTCTCATACCAAAAAACACTCTAATAATACAAGAATATACAGGTCTAGTCAGTACAATCATACTACTATCATACAATGCCTATTTTCCTTCTTTTTTTTTTTACTTTAGCTGAAGTTTCGCCATTATTAGTCTGCCAGGCCCTTATAGCTTTATTACTATTTATTGGTGAGTTAAGCTTTTTTTTTGTTTTTCAAGGTACACCGGACGTGGCAACATTAGCAGCCATTGGAATGATGGTGAGTGATGTTGCAGGCTTTCATGTGTGCCTTGACTGAGATACAAAAACGGTCAGTCCGACCAATCGGGTATTAGCTTGGAATCTCAATCGGGTTGATTGTTCGAGACGTCATTCAGTGTTGGAGCGGAACGGATTTGGGGTGATCCCTTTAAGGGTCCACACAGGACAATTCTTACGAACTCCTTAACAAAAATAAGAACTTAAAAGAGAAGAGAGGAGAGGAGAGGAGAGGAGAGGAGAGGA